ATTAACTTATATTAGCTGACACTTGAGCAGTAAAACTGGCAAAATAATACTTACCTTTCCCAACAGATAATTGGTACATACTCCTTTAATCAATCTGTCGCCTACAGTATACTTGGTAATTATACAACAAATGGCAATTCGATTCTCTTTGTGCTTTGGTGATGAAGCGATACTGTAGTAACGCGCCTGAAAACAAACTGATATGTGGATCTTTTGTGGAACACGATTATTATATTGATGAAGTTGTCAAATATTATAACTCATTCTAAGCAAATTTTAGCTAATTTACGAACGAACAAAAGTGAGCGGTGCTGGCCCGCCCACTTCTTGCTCAGATACATGCTAACCTGTAGACGTGGTAATAATTCCAACAAATATTCAATCGGTGGTTTGCATGTTGGATGTTCTCGAAGTACGTCGATAATCGATCTGCGCTCTTTTACGATGTAATTGGAATATTCTTTCTGCAATTACGAACTATGCAAGCTGCAAAACGCCCAGGCGCACGACAATACTCACCAATCCCTCCTCATTGGCTGTAGACAATATTGAGAGATGTAATTTTTCTCCCTCGTCTGTACAGTATTCACTGATTGCCTGTAATGACAAGAAGCTCTTTTTTGCTACCGTACCACTACCGTATGCTGCTTACTTTTAGCACGTGACTCTTCATTGGTGCACAAATATCAACATAGTGTGTTAAGGCTGTACGATAAGTGCATGGACAAGGAAATGGATTTCTTTTTGAAGATTCTTCATCAATGTTGATCAATCGGAACGCCTGCAATCAAAACAAATCTGATTTACTCGATCAATAAATCGATAATCAAAGCACCTGCTCAGGATTGAAGTCTAATAACGAGATCATAGCTTCTACTAGCTCTGGATCGTTGGTGGGGAAAACTGCGAGATGGTCACCAGACTCGTAGCGAATACGCGAACCTGAGGCGCACAGGATGATACAAGAAAAAATCAATAAAATCAATACTCTACCTTCAACAGCGAATTCGATGTGTCGACAACTACGTTCACTTTTCTCTGTATGTAACTCGCGATTTTCGACTATGGTAGCTGGGAATGGATTTTTCTGATCGAACGGTGGTCGAAGTCGTTCAAATGCGCCAAGTCGAGCATATTCTCCCTAGAAGGGAATGGTAAGGAATGCCAGAAAAGCAGAAAAGATGTTAGCGAATTACCTTGAACAAAGTGACA